AAAAGCTTCCTTTATGTTTTTGATTGGTTTAGTTTATGAAAATTCAGTCTTTTATCTTGAGCAGATGTTAGATTCACTACTTTACAACCATTCCATCCTGACTCTCCAAACTAACATCATCTCTGATCTCTTTTTATTAGCTGCATAATTATGAACGATTCTAACTTTTTTTTTTTTCAGCCTGAAACAGTTTTAAGACCGTCTGGTTCATAAAGTTTACTAAACAGGCACTTGATTATGGCTAAATTTGGTGTATCTCTCACTTTAAGTGAGATTTCTATTGCTCTTTATTCTGTTCTATATAGTAATTGTGACTTTTCTGCTGATTAGACGGTATGATTACATTAAAAATGAGTTGCAAAACAATTCCTTTATGCTCTTGCTCTAAGTTGCCTCACTCATTGCTTGTTCCTTTGTCATCTGGAGGCTCTACCTCCATGCAGCTCTAGGAGTCAGTCATCTGTTCATAACTACTCCCATATCTTCATCTTTAGTCATGGGCTGATGCATTTCGTAGCTCTCCCTCCCTGCTGGGGGTGGTGCATGTGTATGATGACCTAAGGCGTCGAGGCCTGGAGTTTCCTATGACAGACCTGGACGCGCTCTCACCCATTCACACTCCAAACAGGGTGAGCCTGGTTGTTAACTCGAAGGTTATCACACCTGAATGCTTTTATGAACGTCTACGTGTATTTTACCTCTCCGTCGTGTCCTGCAGAGTATCCCCGAAAACGGCACACCCGAGGAGACCTCTGTCGCTGCTCCCACACGTCCGTCACCAGAGCAAGTCCCTGCTGCCGCCACCCCCAGTCAAAATACCTCATCTCCAGTCCAAGTCAGTAATGGACCAGTCCCGCTCACTCCAGAACAGGTAGGTCGCCCTGAAACTGCCTTGAAATTACATTTTAAATACTTGCTTTTATGGTCAGAATTTCTGAGTTTTAACTATTACAAAGATCATACTGGGAGATCTGCACCCACCTCTCAAATGAACTCTTTTTTTACTTCAGTTGAAGAAATTTTCTGGTGTAACTCAGGTCACTATGACTCTCAAAGCTAGACAAGACTTTGTTGAACTTTCAGGTTTTGAGATGTAAAAATAAAGTTAGTGATAAATCATTTTAAAATGTTGTCCACTTTCAATATGGTAAATGTAGAGTTAAACTGAAAATATAAACCAGTGTTTTGTTGGAGCGCCACTATGTTCTGCCCCCATGTGGCGACATGTCGCTACCACACGAATTTGTAGCAGCAGAAAATCACTGCAGACATCGTTTTAACAACAGATCTACTGAGGGAGGTGAGACAGACTCTCTCTAATGGAAAGCAGTCAGCAACTCTTAATCCTTCAGGATCAAATATCCTCCCATCTACTCACACCTAAGGTGTACCCACCCACTTTATAATTACTCAAAAGTTAGATTTGCTACACTGTTGGAAAACATTCATTTATACTAGCAAATTCACAGACGAAATCCAAGTCAAAGCAATAAAAATAGTTTTGGAATAGTTTAATGACTCTCTCCAGGGAAGCCAAGTTTGACGTTGAGCTCTTTGCCATTCTGCGTGCTCTTATATTGAAATTAAAAGGTTTCAATCTTGGCTCAGATATAAAGATGTGCCCTTTATTTGTACCAGATATTTATAAATGTAAAGCAAGAATGTACCTAATTTTGTGACTTGTTTTCAATTCTTGTTTTTTATGATCCTGCTAAATTTCAGGAGCAGAAGCTGCGGAGCGAGCTGGCCCTGGTTAAAGGAAACCTGACAGTGATGTCTCAAATGTTAAACGAACTAAAGCCTGGACAGAGCACAGCAGACGATGCAGAGCTGCTGCAGGTGGGTTAATTTGTTTATCTGTCTGCCACTCAGACTCTATTCTTTGCAGTTCCAGTTTACAATTACATGTCTATCTTTTTTGTTGTTTTTGTTTTTGTTTTAAATCTGGGTGTACATTTATCCACCAACAACTAATTTTCTTTTAACTTCATCAATACAGCTGAAATGTCACAGTCTAAAGTCTAAATTAAATCATATGCTCCTTAAAGCTCCTGGACCACATTTTCTGTTGCATCAACGTTTTAATTAGCTGCAGCAATTAATCTTTCTCTCTCTCTCTCTGCCGGTCTGCTCAAGCAGCAGCTGTTCTCGGTGTGTAAGAAGATGCAGAGTCGTGTGGTTGAACTGATCCCACAGCTGATGGATGAAGGATTCATGGAGGAGCTTCTCATGGTGAACGATGACCTCAACAACGCCTTCATTCGCTTCGAGAGGTGGGCTGCCGCAGGTCAGGCTGGATAGTTAAACATTAGGTGAAAATTTTGCAGTACTTAATCTTCTACTGCATTTTTTGTTTGTTTTTTTGTCAGGTTTGAGCGACTGAGCAAGGCTCAAAATACAAATACGCAACAGGTAAAAATAATCAGAAGTTGTCTGATGTGTTTAAAATAATAAAAGGTGTATTGAAACTAGTTTCAATAGTTTTTCTTCCTTCTTCCTGTGCTCACTCTGTCAATGAACGTGACACACCTCCTTCCAGACCTCTGGAAGTAGCCCAAATCTCATCGACGTCTGTCCCGAACGTCCGACCAACAAACAGCCCGCTACGATCACAGCAACCAACCAACCAGCCGTCAGCGCCCAGACCAATCACCAATCATCAGCCAACCACAGTGAGTAAGCTTTTTATAACTTATGTTGAAACAAAAGTTCCAACAAATAAAATTTCTAAAACTTTATTTCTGGGACGAAAAGGAATGTGGCTGAATCACATGTTTCGAAAATACTTTCTGCATCTGAACAAATGTCACAGTGAATAATGCTGAGCATTGAAAACAGAAATGCATCTGTACTATTTGAAATGAAGCAGGACAATATCTGTTCTGCAGAAGAAGACGAGGAGTTTGACATGTTTGCCCAGACAAGAGGCAGCTCTTTGGCCGAACAGAGGAAAAGGTGAGCAGCGCTACATAATTTTCTCTCTAAATAGATATGATTTACATCACTGAAAATATCTGCAGGGGGTTAACTTGATTCATTGGTAGTGCTGCTTTGTAATAGAGCAAACAGCAGCTCAGACACAATATGCAATATTGATAGTTTAAGCACTGCACACAAATATACCTTTTTATGTGATCTATTTGTGTGGATGAATAAGTGTTTGCTTCTTCCTGCTCCTTTTCAAGCAGAAAAGTTGATTATTTTGTCGTTGATTGTGCATGCACATGTTTTCTCCTACTGATTACTTTTTTCCTTGTTCATAAAAACCTGTTTCAAATAAAATGGAAAAACACTGAAATATTTGTATGCATTCATTTTTTCCATGCTTGCGATGAAAACCAATTTAAGCGTCGCTCAATTTAAAACAAGGCTGTATTTTCATAATGAAGTTTCTGTATTTGCGTCTAGCGTCAAGTATGAAGATCCTGAGACGGTGGAAGGCCTTGCTGAAGCTCTGGACTCCAGGCTGCAGGTCACAGGAGGGGTGTGTACTCCACGACGACATTCATCAAGTTTACAGGAACATCGTCATCTTGAATTACAAACAATATCTGAGTCATTCTATTTTTTGCGTTTCATTTCAGATGGTGCCAGAGAAAAACGCTTCGCAGAATGACATTGACAAATGGATATCTTCAGAGCTGGTAGGCCGAAGCGCTTGCTGCGTATTTAACATAAGCGGGTGATGAACGTAGGGCGCCGTATTTACTGTTTGCGTTTTAAAATAGCAGGAGGGTGAGTCGTCGGTTTGTGAAGGAGTCTCCAGTGAAGGTAGGTTTTCGTCTCCTTAGCTGTTCTAATAAAATATTTCCCAACATTTAATCTGGTGCTCGAAAGAGGAGTTCATAATACCCACGTCTCTTTAGAGTTTGACAAGTTTCTGGACGATCGGGCGAAGGCGGCCGACCACAGTAACCTTTCAATTCGCAACGTGCCGCCCTCCACACCAAGACCTCAGGCGCAACCCGCCAAGCAACAGGACGCAACGCATGACCAGCTCTTCTCTCTTTAAAGAAAGCCTCACCAACGAGTTCAGATCAACAAAGTGATACATGAATGTACACAAACCGCATAATCAACAAATTTTTTTTTTTTACAGTAAATGCTTTATTTCCTTATAAATCTGATGTTTTTATGTACATACACACAACTTTATGTAACTCTATTTAAAGTTTACTATCATGTCAATGTGAACAAAAGCCCTAACCCTGTATAGTTAAATAATTGCAAATAATGATGTATAAAATCTATTTGATGATGTGCCTTCAAACTGAAGACTTGATTTAGTGGGATCAAAAATAAATGGGGAGCTGTTCCCCAAACATGTAGAGCTTTTTATTTGAAAGTATTTTTCTGGTTTGAGAAAAAAAATAAAATAAAAAGTGACCCATGCCTTTTATCCTTGCTGGAGAGTAGCACATCATTTTTATTTTTATTTTTAAATTAAACTTAAAAGCTGACAGATTAAACAAAATAGAAAAGGCGGAGGGTTGTCAGAACTAGTTTATCTTTAAGTTTTTTTGTTTGCTTAATTGGCACATTTTATTAAATTGCACTGAGTTAGTGATTAGTACAAAAGAAGTATATCAGCATACGCTGGTAGACCAGTAATTCTGTGATTAAAAATGCATAACTTCAATTATGTTCTTGTTTTCTGAGATTGGTTTATTCATTCTCTCTTAGCTGTATTAGCAGAATAAATTGAAACAAACATGTTATAAATTGAGCTTTTTCATTACTGTAATAACTTTTTTGGTCTTTTTTTTTGTTTGTTTTTCACTTCGTCCAGATTTTTTTTTTTCATAAATAAAGTCCCAAGATAAATGCATGACACTGGGTAGGAAAATGGGTGAACCGTGTCGGTTCCCGTAGTTTCCGGATGTTTTCGAGGATTAGTCTGGAGCAACTGGACGCACAATCAACCATGACAACAACTGACGGGCATTTTGCTTTTTTACAAGTCTAAATGCAGTTGTCATTACTGCCATTACTTAAAGTACACAATTGTTTCGTCATTCAAAACTGGCGGCTTGCGTTTGTTTGCCGGAAGTACGTCAGATCTATTTCTGATCTCGCACATAGGATTTACCAAATGCACGTTTTTTGTTTTTGTTGTTTTTGAGTATTACTGGCATCATCAGACTTGGCTTGATGAGTCAGGTTTCTGGTCAGTGAGATTGATGTAGATTAAACGTCTACATCAACGTTTAAGTCAACTGAATTGTTGACTCAAAGGTCAACAATTCCGTTGTTGACCGAAAACTCAACAATTCCCTGAGTAAGTTAGTTTTATTACATTTAAGAATATGCTTTAATAAGCATCATTGACATGATCAGTGCACTTTACATATCCCAATGTATTTGCAGAGTCACTTATTGTGCTCCGTGCAAACATCCGCAGGAAAAAAAAGGTTGCTTTTATCATTTGCAATTCCGGGAGTTCTTGAACGCAGCAGTTCGCCTCAGCTGAACGGTGACTGTACACATTCAAGATGGCCGCTGCGATGGACGACGAATTTGAAGACGCGCCTGATGTGGAGCCTTTAGAACCGACTCTGAAGAACATAATCGAACAGAAATCGCTGAAATGGATCTTCGTTGGTGGGAAAGGTGGTGTCGGTAAAACCACCTGCAGGTAAGTCGAAGGAAATGCTCTTAGCGACTCGCGCTAGCTGAAATAAATACCTCAAGCTAGCTTTTAATGCACGTTGACGGTTTTTATTGATTAGATAATGAACAAGTAATGTTAGTTTTATTGATAGGAATAATTAATATCAATCAGAACATCATTACTTGTATTTTGTGGGTAAATTGGTGTCACCTGTCGTTTATCGGGTAGCTAAATACTATTTGGCACAGTCAGCAGCTAAAGTTAGCCTGCTGCCAGTGACACAATTCATTAATTTCTGTTCTTTAAATTAAATCACGACGTTCTCGTCTTAATGCCGCTCTCCTTTAACTACGGATTTTCCTGCCGTACTTTCATTTAATTTTTTTATATATATATCGTATAAACTGAATTGGACGACTACGTGAAACGACAATCAGAAAGGATAGGTCAGAGGTCACACATACATGAGGAAATCTTCAAAACAAAGCTCCTACTTATTATCCATACTGAATTACGTGGCTATCACTAACCATCATTAACTTATTAAACATGAAGATTTGCAGTGGAATTTTTAATTCTAGCTTTCTGAAGTTTTATTCACATTCTGCAAAATTCTAGAAATGAAGTGTCCAAAACATATGTGATAATTATTTTATTTATTTTTGTGTGTTTAGCTGTAGTTTGGCCGTCCAGCTGGCTGCCGTCAGAGAGAGCGTCCTCATCATATCCACAGATCCTGCCCATAACATCTCTGATGCTTTTGACCAGAAGTTCTCGAAGGTGCCTACTAAAGTTAAGGGCTACGACAACCTCTTTGCAATGGTAAGTCATGATGAATAGTACAAAAAATAAAATTCTTTTGAACAAATCACAAGTACTTTTTTAGAATCAGAATTTAATTGGTGACGTATGTAGCAAGGCTCAAGAGTTTGAGTTAGTAGGTAGGTTGTTAGCATTAGAAACTTTTGGTTCTTTACATTATGGACTACTTGCACGTGCAAGTTATGTTTAGTGTAACAAATTGTACATGTGATTGTTTTTTTCTACGTAGTTCTTGTGTGACAAAATTAAAACAGCACTGAGATTTGAAGACATACTGACAAAATTATATAAACAACTTTAATCACCAGAACTATAATTATCCAAGTTTTTATTTTTTATCAATTTAGTCAAATTTAGTGCTTTTTCCAAGTGATATGGTGTTATTTTAAGATGCCTGAGCTTAGTCCTTCATTTATTTATCTGTTTTTTGGATCTATGACACTGTTGTCAGAATGTCTCATCTGACCCAGCATTTGGAAACTGGAGTCAGCCATTAAGAAAACCACAAAGAGGTTTATTTGTCCTGTTTTTGGAAAGCGTTTTGCATTAGGTCACCATTTTGTCTGTATCACAAGGGCAGGAAACAGCAGGCCACTTGTATATTTTCTTCATCATTCATATTTGTTTTAAACAGGAGATCGACCCGAGCTTGGGTGTCGCCGAACTGCCTGATGAATTCTTTGAGGAGGACAACATGCTCAGCATGGGCAAGAAAATGATGCAGGAAGCCATGAGTGCTTTCCCTGGCATTGACGAGGCTATGAGCTATGCAGAGGTCATGAGGTGAAAAATAACTGCATAAATAAAAATTCAAAATGTAAAATGATGTTTGGCGATGCTTTATTTAAACTGCTGTGCTTAATTGCCTGTTGAAACAGGTTAGTGAAAGGAATGAACTTCTCAGTTGTGGTGTTTGACACCGCGCCGACTGGCCACACGCTGCGTCTGCTCAACTTCCCCACCATCGTGGAGCGAGGGCTGGGTCGCCTCATGAAAATTAAGAACCAGATCAGCCCCTTCATTTCTCAGGTGCACTGGGATTTTTCTACCAGAGTTTAAATAGCCGTGTGAGGAAATGACTGTCAGCGAGGCTTTAATAGCATCTCTTTTTATTATTATTCCCAGATGTGTAACATGCTTGGTCTGGGTGACATGAATGCAGACCAGCTGGCGTCCAAGCTGGAGGAAACTCTACCAGTTATTCGCTCCGTTAGTGAGCAGTTCAAAGATCCTGTAAGTATCATTCATTTAATAGTGTCACTCTTGAGAAGTCACCTTCTGACTTGAGTCACTCAAGTCACCTTGAGTTTGTGTTACCTCATAAATTTACCTTTTAATTACTGGAATCAAATGTTTTAACATTTTAGTACACTTCACCTGTCTTCCCACTCTTTGTTTATTTATCTTTCTGTTCTTCAGTGTGTCCATCAGTCTTTCCCTTTGTTCATGAATCCCGGAATAACTTGGTTGCTTTGAATACACATTAGAAAGTGGTGAAATACTTTGTATCTTATGACAACTCTTGTCCATCTGACTGTGCTTTTTCTAACTCCTCTGTTGCCTCTGGGAATGTTTTCCAGGAACAGACGACCTTCATCTGTGTTTGTATCGCTGAGTTCCTGTCGCTCTACGAGACGGAGCGGCTGATCCAGGAACTAGCCAAGTGTCGCATCGACACACACAACATCATCGTCAACCAGCTGGTTTTTCCCGAAGCGGAGAAGCCTTGTAAAATGTGTGACGCCCGTCACAAAATTCAGTCCAAATATTTAGACCAGGTACGGCCTGCGAGTGTTTCCGGTCTTTGAAGAGTTTTAACTTTTTTAAGACACTAATGTCAGAACGACCATTCATTTGTTGACTCTTTTGTCTCTTTATTGCCATCAGCCAATTCCCCAAAATTATGCAAAAGGGATAAACAAAATGTAAAATAAATGTGACCCAATGCTTTGAACTATTGTCTGAATCACATAAAGTAATATGTTTCACTCTGAAGAGCCTTTATTTGACAAAAGAAGACAAAAGACATTTCAAAAGTCAAATAGATGCACACAGACATCCACTGTCAAAGGAGCCTGCAGTTTACAAGAATACAACCTGAACATCTGTAGAATAAAGACTAATTAGGAAATATAAATCATAACATTTACATCCATATTGGAATCTATTTAGATGTAACTAAAGGGGATAAAGTGGATTACTGTAATATTATTAGAAAAAGAAGCAGGACTTATTTCACTGATGTGTAATGATTTAATAATTAAAGCAGTGACTGCTACTTTCCCATGTATTCATCATTGGTCTGCTTTGTCCCTGCAGATGGAGGATCTTTACGAAGATTTCCACATAGTAAAGTTACCGCTGCTGCCTCATGAAGTTCGCGGCGCCGACAAGGTCAACACATTCTCGAAGCAGCTTCTGGAACCATACAAACCCCCAAACAAGTGATCTCTCACTTGTCGGACCTCTTCTCAACAGCCCCCCGAATCTCCCCTCTCTTCCCTCTTAAGTCTGTAGATAAAACTCTTCATCAGTGTGACCGCGCCTGCTCCGGGTTTTCCCACCCCGCCCCGTCTTAAACCTTGCAGCAACGGCCTCATAATGATCCACTCTGTCCTCTGAAGCAGAACACCCCTACATCAACAACACACTCACATTCCCAAACTGAAGGGGAGCTGATGAGAACACACACACACACACACACACACACACACACACACACACACACACACACACACACACACACACACACACACACACACACACACGCAACCTCATTGTGAGAAGAGGCGGTGCGTATATGCAGTCTAACTCTCGGTTTATTCTCTCGTGTTCATATCCTTTGTGGCAGTCGTTCTAGTCTTACTGCAATCAACTCGGTCTCAACAGAACCATCCTATCTCGGGTCAGAGTTCAGTTCTAACCGTTTCAGTTCTGTTCGTTCAACAAATTTCAGGTGGTTGATGTCAACGCCTCGGTTTCTCTGTGATTTTGGTGCTTTTGTTTCTTTTCCAGTCGAGGTTCTGACTGAACTTGCAACCAAATTCACGTCTTGTATATTTTTCGGTTTCATTTACGTTACTACGACTTCAGAGTTAAATGACAGATTGTTGGCAAAAAGGAGCAAAACGAGAAATGTTATCATTCTTTTAGTTTCAGTTCTTGAGGGTTGTTTCATTCCAGGAATGGTTTGCTTGCTGTTTGGCATCATTGGTTCGAATCCACATGTTTCGTAAGACCAAAGTGTGACATTTCAGTAAGTTGAAGCTGAACTCAGAACCTCCTAAAACACATCAGCCCACTTCTCTCTAACATTGATTACCATTACAGGAAGAATCGGGATAACTATTCTGATTGTAGTTATTTAGAACATAACTCGTCACTGAAGTTTTGAGCTAATGATTGTATGCATTCTTTACTGCTGTGAATGAAAAAAAAAAAAGATTCTGGTTCAATTGAAGCATTCCCAACTGGAAAATAAGTATAAGGTCAATGCTTCCACCTGTCAACATCTCTCTTGTTTTCTGTCTCTGATTGCTTCAAGAATCTGTTTTCTATAGATTTTATTTAAATTATATTTCAATTGTGAATTAAACTTTCCTCAGCTAAAATTGCTTCTGGTCTTGTGTTTTATAATTTTTTTCTTTTGTACTTTGCTTCCATGAGGTTAATTATCTTTTTAGAGTGGTTTAAAATAGCTCTTTAATCACATATTTAGGGGGCATCGGAATTAAAGAAGGTGGACATACATGCTTGCAACACCTTTCAGTTCTTTCCAGTGTTGATCAGTCAAGTAAAAGAGACTGAAGGTGACATGAGGCCTGAGATGACCTTTGAAGAAAACATCTTAAGAGGATATGCGGAGTCGTTTAAACGCACAACAGTCTGCAGCTTCATTACCGACAACCAGAAAGGTTCTTGTTTGTCATTTTGCTGAGCAGGAAAGTTTGCACGGTCCGATTGCCCCTGTTTAACAATTCCCTGCTTGCACCGCTCGGCCCTGCGCGCTCCTCCGGCCGCGGCGCTGCGGCCTGTCGCTTGCGGTTCATCACTGGGCATCGCTCGCCCGGTCGGGGGCCGCGCTAACGAGCCTCCCCCTCTTTGTTTTCTTGGAGGGGATTTGCCCCCGGGGCGCGCTGACCACTGGACAGCGCCGAGGATTATGACCACGCAAGCCCCACGAGGGTTGGCGGAGCTGACGCCAGAGGATCTCAGGGCGGCGAGAAGCGGCGCTGCTGAACGCAGAGTGGGACGCAGAGCGGGACGCGTGCCAATTGCGCGCGGAGATGCTCTGAGGAGATTGGCTGAACGACGCACCTCTGAAAGGTAGGATGATGCATTTAGTTGAGTGATGAATCAAAATTCAAACTTTCCTGAAGGTATAGTAACTCTGACGAGGACGTATGGAACAGATTCAATTAGAAGCTGCATCTTTTCCCAAACAGCGCTTTCATTCTGGAGACCTGGAAATCCTCGGCTCCTGATGACGGTCACCTACACCGCCAGAGTTGCAAATGCCAAATTCTGCGGCTTTTCCAAGCTGCTCTTGGCCTGGAAAGGCAGCATCTACAAGGTGCTTTACAAAGAGTTTCTGGCGTTCTTCGCCATGTACACAGCCACCAGCGTCACTTACAGGTGAGGGAGGAACTGCTGTTAAGTTTATACACACTCATCAAGAGTGTCAATGTCATACTTAATTTGGGGCTTCTAGTGACTTACTTAAGCCACAAAAGTGTCCAAATGTACATTTATTAGATTTTTTGTAATTAGATGCTGGACAAAAAGTAGAAAGTATTCCTGAAGCGGCCTTCCGAAAATCTTTTGAAGAGACAAGGCTGACTGATTTCATGCTGGTTGCCATGACTGACTGCAGTTGGTAAATTCCTAAAATTATCAGTTCAAACAACAATGTGTGAGTGCAATTTGTTTTAGATGTGATGATGAGACTTAAGGAGACATGCAGTCGTCCACACGAAGAAGTTTAATAACTTTTGAGAAAAGTTTTATGTTCACGAGACAAAGACCAAGCTGATCAAACCAACAATCACTGCACCAGTTGTTCAGCACAGTGGAGGTAGCGTCATGCTGTTGGTCTGTTTTTCTGATTATATGTTTAGTTCACAAAGTTGATTATAATTATGAAGCTGGATAACCACTCCAGAGTTCCTCAACTTCACCACCAATTAACAAGTAGATAATCGAAATGCTAACACAGCATCGTGTTCCAGCAGGAACATCTTACGCAATTTGGTTCTGTTGTGGATAAAACAGGCTAACATGCTTTTAATCCAGGCGTCTGCAAAGAAAAACAAACTATTTGGTCAAAATGAGAAGTCAAATTACTCCAGCAGCAGAAAGTGTGTGTGATTTACTTTTAACTTTTGGAGGGATATTTATATTAAACATTACCGTGGGTTGGAATGTCACGTTTTTAACCTGTAAATCTTTTTCCAAGACTTAGAAATGTTCCTTGAAATAAAGACAGAACAGTCAAAGGAATCCTTAAAAGTCTGACATCACCCCAAAGTTATTTTTTTTCACGATGGGTGGATCTAATTGCAACTGTGGATAATCACCATTTCCATGACGCCTTATATGACACATTCTGGATCATTTCATCGTTTCAGATTTTTCCTGGATGACGATCAGAAGAGATATTTTGAAAAGCTGGCAATTTACTGCAACCACTATGCCAGTCTCATCCCCATGTCCTTTGTACTGGGTAAGCTTTTAGAGTCTTTTGGCATTTTCAGACTTGGGGTTAGTTATGATTAGTGTGGCTCTAACAACATGACACAAGACCTTTTTTTATGATTTAGTAAAACATATTAAATATGCAACTCATGAGTTATTCAGGATGTTCAATGGTGTGATGTTTTCGGTGATCAATGAAAGCTGACTTTATTAACCAGTAATTAAAGGCCAGTTAACATTTTCCTAATAAATACACATGAAAAAGGTGCAAGAAATGAATCTGATGGACTCATTTTCTTATTTAACCAGTGTTACCGTATATAAAGCACCCATGAGTAATCCTTAGTTGATAATTAATTTGGCACAAACTGAATACATAAATAATTCACCAGTCTGTTCTGCTGCATCATGATAGTTCTTCGTTCCGTTGAATGTTTTTCTGGAGCTAAAAATCTAACTCTAAATTAAGAACTTAATTTATTGGAAACTCTACAATGTATGCAACAAAATTTAAAAAAAAAACAAAAGAAAGAAAGTTTTAAATCTCTGTGCTGCTGTTTGCAGGTTTCTACGTGACCCTGGTGGTGAACCGCTGGTGGAATCAGTACACCAGCATCCCGTTGCCCGACAGGCTCATGTGCGTCCTGTCCGGGGGCCTCCAGGGGAGCGACGAGCGAGGCCGCTTGCTGAGACGCACCATGATGCGCTACGCCAGCCTCTCGGCCCTGCTCATCCTCCGCTCTGTCAGCACGGCCGTCTTCAAACGGTTCCCCACCATGGACCACGTGGTGGAGGCTGGTGAGAGCAGGTGGCGGCTGGGAATGGTCGCCCTGCACGGTGCATTGACTTATTTCTCTCATGGTTTGTGATGAACACCACTGAGCAGAGATGCCACATCTTTATCAGACCACCAGAAAGTGGTCAGAGGTGTTTCAGATGGTAATGCACACAATGATTGTGAGGCGTTTGTTTCTGCATTCACTGAACTCACCAGAGGACACACAAGGAGATTTACTCATTAAAAAACACGCAATAAATTTCTATTTTTAGGTCATTTTATATATTCAGAAACACTTTAACTATTCCTTATCACGTTTTTTTGGACACACAAGCAGCAGGGAACCAGCTTCTTCTTGGTCCACCAACCTGTGTTCAGTCTCTATAGTAATAACCAAGATGTTTAAAATCTGCTCTTCTTCCATTAATACTTTGGGTTTTAACACAGATATTCTCCACAGCATTGAAATATAAATTTGGTTTTGTTTTTTTTTTTCATTCGCAAAATTAAAAAAAGCTGACATAGTTTGAGAGTCTGTAAGAGTATATTAAAGTAATATTTTACTACCATCATGTTTTAATAGATCTTTATAGGAACCAATGGCTCATGTTGTTTTCTGTGCAGGATTTATGACAAGAGAGGAAAGAAAGAAGTTTGAGGGTCTCCACTCTCCTTACAACAAATACTGGATCCCGTGCGTTTGGTTCACCAACCTGGCAGCTGTGGCTCGCTGTGAGGGCAGAATCAAAGACGATCACACACTCAAACTTCTCCTGCAGGTGCAGCACAGCCAGAACTCACAGAAACCTTCACACACGCTGGCTAATAGTGTTAAGCTGCAGAGTTTCTTTACTCTTTTGAATGGAGATTTAGACTGTGGATTGACGGCTGCTCTGTGTGTGTGTGTGTGTGTGTGTGTGTGTGTGTGTGTGTGTGTGTGTGTGTGTGTGTGTGTGTGTGTGTGTGTGTGCGCAGGAACTGAACGGTTTCAGAGGGAAGTGCAGCATGCTGTTTCATTATGACATGATCAGCGTGCCTCTAGTGTACACTCAGGTAAGATCATTCACAGACTTGGTAAATCTTGAGTTTCTCTTTGGTAGACCTTAGGGTATTTTAATCAAGACTTTTGGTCAAAACATTCATAACTCTTCAGCCTTTTCGCTTTTTCTCACATTACAAATACAATCTTCCGTATTTTACGGGAGTTTTCTGTGATCGACCAACACACAGACTGAATTTGTTTGTCCATTCCTCTTTGCAAAGCTGTCATTCTCTTTGTCTTCTTTTTTTTTTTTTTTCGAAGGCCAAGAGCTATTGCAGTCCCAAGTATGTGTATGGCAGGCAGTTTTGACATAAAATCAGTTTTGTCTGATATTTTTGATGATATTTTAGATATCTAAAAATTGGCTTTGACTAGACACAATTACATTTGGACTACCCTGAATGGTAATCCAAGGCAATTAGAGATATATGAATTAACTAATATGTCTGGACATAAACCATTTTGAGATATCTGGAATGTAAGTGTGGTGAAGCCAATTTTATATTAGAACAGCCTGCCAAAAGGCAGCACACACTGGCAGCTCTCGTTGTGTTTAGTTTTTGGAGATCGTCAATCAAAATACTCACTTATAGAGAGGACGCCGTGTCGGACAAAGAAGGACCTGATTTCTGTTTCTCTACAAGTTTTAATCAGTTGGCTCACCAGGCTGTGCACATGACACCTGGGAAGATTAAACAATGAAATGGTAATGATGTTACTTACAAAAACACAAAAACTTTCTTTATTTTTGAGACTTTTAACAAAATACCCAATTTCTGGAAAAGAAAAAATCTATAAAATACTTTCATGTTTCAGAACAAAAACTTTTGTAACATTAGTAAGTTAATACAAACGCAAGATATGTTTTTACTTTAGTTAAATGTGTAACTTCTTCTTTCGAGCTGAGCTTGTCAGTTCACTAGAGTTACCACCAGTGTCCACGAGAGGGCGCCACAAGAAAATGCATGAGCGCAGATCGGATGCCTCTGTTTGTCTCTCAGGTGGTGACTCTGGCAGTGTACAGTTTTTTCCTCGTGTGTCTGATTGGCCGGCAGTTTCTTGACCCCGGTCAGGGTTACCCGGGTCATGACCTGGACCTCTACGTGCCCATCTTCACACTGCTGCAGTTCTTCTTTTACACGGGGTGGCTCAAGGTCAGACTGCGGCTCCCTTGATGTTTTGCTCCAGCCTGATGTCGGGAGAAAGTGGAGACATTCAGTCTTTTGTTGTTACTCTTGAAGGTTGCAGAGCAGCTGATTAACCCCTTTGGAGAAGATGATGATGATTTTGAGACCAACTGGCTAATTGACAGAAACTTTCAGGTTTTTTTTTTTTTTTTAAGCGTGATTTCAAAACCATTTAGACTTTGACTTATGTTCTGCTTTTTTAAAAAAAATGTTTTGGCTCCGACTTTTCTGTTTTACATTTTGTGTGCAGGTGTCCATGATGGCCGTGGACGAGATGTACGGCGATCTCCCGATGATGGAGCGAGACCGTTACTGGAACGACTCCAATCCCCGACCGCCCTACACTGCAGCTACACTCTTTGTCCTCCGTAAACCGTCCTTTCAAGGGTCCACCTTCGACATGGCGTGAGTTTCTCCGCGTGTCCTCTTGGGACGTTGAGGGGCCGAGTGAGAATCCCCCTTGCCTAGTGTTTGAAACATAGGAAGTTTTCTCCTTTTAGCCTTGAGAAAGAGTTCACATCTTTCCCCAAGAAACATCATTCTCGACAAATATTGTTTAGATTTGTCAGTAGCCTAAAATCTAAACGATCCTGACTTCCATTTGCAGGATCCCGAAGGAGGAGATGCACTTCCAACCTCTGGAGGACATTGCTGAGAATCTGGAGGAATCCGGCACTCGCCACCCCAACATGGCTCTGTTTAACCGCCTCCTCCACGCGGCTCCATCCCCAACTGGCTTCATGGGAGGAGCTCTACGCCGCACCTCGGCTCAGCTCCAGAGGCTGTACCACTCTCCCAGCAACGACGGATGCACCAGTGACGATGAGGAGGAAGAGGAGGAGAAAAGTTGTAAAATTGGCAAAGGTGGGTCGCTGCCATCAGGGCTGGGCCAGGACATCCAGAGCACCGTGTGCAGCTTCAGGGAGGACAAGAGTCCCAGGACGCCGCTGGTGGATGTTCAGTTTGGGGAGGAGCTGGGAAGACGAGAAGGAAACTTCTCAGCCGGCGAGAGCAGGGATGCAAAAGGAGCTGAAGGAGTTCAGAGGGATGAAGATGGAGCTGACGTGGAGTCAGAGGAGACTTCCACAGCTCTTGTGTCACTGCTTCCTCCTCCTCCATCCTCCAGGGAGACATCTACTCGCCCTGCCTCTGCCACTCCTAACGCATCCCGCCACCGTTCTGCCTTCCTGTTTCCCCCGACCGCCCAGTCCAGTCTGGAGCACTGCAGCTCCCAGCCAGTGATCAGCCATCCCAGAGCAACGCCTCCCATTCCCAAACCACCGTCTGCTGGGAACAAAATGTCCCTCCTCACCGTGCCGTCTTACATCGAGCCTCAGCTTTTTCGCAGTGTGAGCATGGGGTCAGAGTTCACGGGGTCCTGAGGTTGGCGACAAGCTGCAAACGTCTGGTTTTGTGAACGCTGAGAGGTTTAATTCTATAAGTAAAGCTGAAGTGGTACAAAGAGTTATTCCTGATTCCTGATTGCTCCCTTAGCATCACATTTAAAGTTTAAAGAAATTAAATGCACAACATAACAGAGTCCATGATTTCCCCCTTGTATTATCTCTTATTTATACAATAAACACTTAATCTCCTGTAAACTTTAAAAACAAAGAGAAGAGAGGAGTTCATGTTGGATTTTTGCTCGTTGACCAGTGGAGATTTATTAACCAGTAACTTTTGTAAAGTCCTCTTAGTTGTTATTTGTGTGCAGTGGACAAATTTAAATTTGAATCTGTTCATGCTTACTGCTCAAGGAGGCCAAAATAAAAACACATGGATTTGAACTTTTGACAAATTAAAACGGGCATTTGTATTCAGCACGATCTAAAACCACCAGATTGGAAACTGTCCTCACAAGTCATCCAATTAGTAGAGGTCACATGTATTTAATATAGTGCATATAAATCCAGATGTTCCATGAAAGTTTCAGAGTTTTCTTAAGCGAACATAATGAACAAGCCAGACATGTCAGAGACAAAGATGTAACGAGAGTTTAAAGCAGAGTTAGTTTATAAAACAACATCCCGGGATTTGAACGCTTCACGCACACGAGAACATAATGTCACCCAACTGCAAACCTCCCGAAACACGGCTGACCATATAGTCGCACCAAGCGTGCTTGTGGAAACTTTGAAGGAGCTGCAGAGAACCGTGGCTCGGGTGGGAGTACATGTCAACTGGTGAGCTGTTACCTGGATGGAAGGGAGGCGAGGCGTGAGAAAGCCTTTGGAAGACGACGAACACAAAGTGGCACGTTGACTGGTCACATAAAATCCCAATAATGACATATGAATGTTTCTGCAAGTCACTTTATGTTTATGTTTCCGCTTGATTTCATTGTCTTTATGTCATATTTTTCAGCGCTTCGAACAACATACTGAAAAACATAAAATAAAATAAAATTTCACATGTGATGCTATTCTGTATATTTTTAAAGACCCAGGGAACCGGTAGGAACAGACAGTTTGTTTTCTGATTGACATCACCAGCAGGTGGGGATAACAGCCCACCAAAAACTCGCACGCCCTCCTTCTCCTTTAGCACAGAGACGCTCTGTTCTTACCGGGGCTCCGTGCGGGCGCTGCGGGCCCTCCTCGCCTGGGTGGAGCGCCTCTGCTGGGCCAGGAAAGACTGAGGAAGGCCTGGAGCTGCAAGGTCCTTCTCAGACAGGCTCTGCTGCTGCAGATGCAAAAACACAAATACTAAAACTTGTCTGGTCCAGTTTTTTTTTCTTTTCTTTTTTTTTAACCAGTAGAGCAAACACAAATGTCAAGAGTCTTGCCGCTAATTTATTACATCACGCGTCATCTTTTTTGCCCCTATCTAATCCCTGGCTTAGAGCCATGCCAGCCCTATGACTAAACTGGTTGTATAAGAAACTTGGGAAAACACAAGAAGGAGCACAAAAAGCGGCGCACGTGTAGCAAAGTAGCAAAGACGTATGACAAGACCAGACCGAGGCAAGAAAAGGAAAAAACAGGATGTAGGAAAAGTTAGCAGAACATTTCGAGGCCATAAAGGGAGAAGTGGGATTGTTCGATTACGTTCAGCAGAACGAGAAAACTCAATCACAACAGAGCTGTGAAACAATCGCAAAGAGAGGGATTAATGTGACTAAAACATGTTGAATTCACACACCCACACGTTTGATTCATAGAAACACAGCAGAGCATGGTGTGACACTCCCACAGACCCTTTCAGCTTTTATGGTCTCTCTGGAAACGTTATCAAAATAACACTGCTTGAGAGCGTCGTGTGTTTGCTACTATCTCATTTTTCTCTCACCACGGCTCGCCACGCAGCCAGGATCAGTTTTTCCTCTTGCTCCTGTCTGGATCTGGCTGTCTCACTCTGAGAGTCAAGTGGCTGCAACAGTTTGGAAAAAAAAAAATCATCTGAGCCTCACACAAGCTCCCATTGTGAGTGACGTTGCAGCAACTCACCTGTGAGGCCTCGGCCTGCAGGGTGTCAGGCCCACAGGCTTCACTGTCGCCGCTCATTTTTCCTACTCAGATCTGAGCAGGACGGGGCCAACAGTAACCACCAAAAAAAAACCACAGCGTTCGCGTGACCGACCAGCTTGCACAGCAGCACCCCTCTGACCTGCCCCGACCGTCTGCCGACCGGTGCTGCCCCCGGCTGCGTTTCGCAGCAGAGACCCCTTTTTGTTGTGCCGCTGATAGAGAACAATATGGAGAGGTGCTGCAGGCCCAAACGCCTCCTCGTCAGAGTCAAACACACCATCCTGCTGACTCTGGCACATTCACTGCTGGGCAGCCAGTCACCAGGCAGGAGATTAGTGGTTAAGTTCCATGACACAATGCAATTATCTTGACAGCAGATACTGCTGATTATATTCTTGTTTAAACGCAGGGCAGGGCAGCGTGCGTGCAGCAAATGCTGGGATTTTCTTATAAATAAATGAGCTGCGTTATATAAAATGACATACATATACAAATCCCTCAAAAGTCTTTTTTTTGAGCAGTTGGTTTTTATTTTTTTTAATAATTGAGGGATTTTTTTTTTAAAGAGAACAAAGAGTTTTAACATATACATGATCTTCATTATCTACTCCAAGTGTACAAACAACACATTTATTTTAATATTCGCCTGAAAAAGCCTCGACAAATAAACGTACATCTATGTAAAACGGCATAAGTTTAAAAAAGATTTTCTTACTTTCTCTCTATTTCTGATTCTGTTTTTTTTTTTTCCAGATTTTTTTTAGTTCGACTGTTCTACTTACTGGAGGGAGGTTTTTAATAGTGGTCAGTATCTATCTACCTGCTCCAAACAGAAAACAAAGTTTGAAGGCTGAGAGGAGAGCCGGGTTTTTCCTCCATTGATATATATATATATATATATATATATATATATATATATATATATATATAATATATATATATATATATATATATATATAAAACTACTATGTTTGTCAGTTCATTACATTCACACACATTGGAAGAGTTGCACTGAAATGTGTCAATTCATTCAGTTTTCAGATTCATTTTTAGGGACAACTGCCAATGAGAAGTCAACAATTTTCCCCTTCTTTGTGTGAATGTTGGCCATTTCAGACAACTTAAACGCTCCAAAATGTCACACCAGTGCAAGGCAACAGTATTCTGTGGATTCTTATACACACTTCTTTTGGATAAGACAGATTTGAATATGGGGTACAGTGTAAAACCTAAAAATGCAACGTTCAAGGACATCTTTGAGATTTCATTTAATTTAGGAGGCTGAACTCAGACCAGGATCTCAGTTTCACTGTGAGCCTGTTCTCAAGGGCTGTTAGCTTCAATCAGTAGGAATCCTCCTAGCTTCTGTTTGGTATAGATAAGATACTGATTGCTCATAACTACACCACAGAACCTCAGTTAAATAAAATTTCCCTGCAACTCTTGGCCTTGATGTCGCATTTTAAGTGAATTTTAATCATATGGTGTGCTGCTTTTAACACAGCATTTGAAGCAAACAGAAACAGATAAAAAAAATTGATGATTGAATAATCTCAATGACAAACAAGAGAAACATTTTATAGAAACTTTATGTTCCAATGTTAACAGAGTGCTGCGGGATCCAGTGTACGTTTTGTTTTCTTTTCTGTTTAAACTCATGGTTGTTGTTTAATTAGAAGAGAAACTCTGTAATAGTACAGAACAAGATATCAGTTACATTTGAAATTATTCCAGCACCAAAATAATGACACCAAAAAATTGAAAGTTGTGTGAAATGTAGTTTATTTGACATCAGATGTGTCTCGCTAGGGTGTTGGAATGCTTCCACAATAATCCATGAGTTAATCTGCATGTCTTAGTCATTAGCAGTTTCAGTGACCCAAAACCTCTCTGGTTCCCCCGGTTCTCCTTTGACCGCCTTCAAAGACCTGCAGCCTCTGCATACCAGGAGAGATTCAGCATCGGCCAGACTGTCCAGCTATGTTGCTTCCATCAGAACATTAGATTTTTTTTTTCCTCTTTCAGTGTCAACAAAGGTCAACTTATTCCAGTTTTAGCGCAGGCTTCAGGGGAAACGAGGTTTGCGCTTTTGTTATTAAGTGTGAAAACACAAGTGTGGGGGAGGATTTCACAGAACTGCGTCTTTCTGTGGAACCAGGAGTAGTGAGGTCAGCAGGAAGGCTTACTGAAACTGAGCTCTACTCTGCTGCTCCTCATGAACCATCAGACCATTTTCAACCACAAGAACTGCGCGCGTTCACATGTCAGCGCGTTTCATCCACCCAGGTTGCTTGCATGCCTTTGCCACTGTCGGCTGACAGTTGATGAAGTACTTGTGGAAAAAAATAATAATAATAAAAGAAAACAAAACAATGTCGCTCCTGAAATGGAAAAAGAAAATGTGAATGAAGCAGAAACAGAAACGAGGAAAGAGGGGAAACCGAGTCAGATAAGTTTCTTGGAATCTGAAACCTGTGAATGTTTACTTAGTGATGAGAGATGCGTGTCACAGATGCTACAAAAACACACCGAGTGCCGCAGATTCCTGTTAGCAGCTCGAACATCTGGTGTGAAAGCTTCCCTCCTACTGCTGCAGTTTCTTAGGTGCCGTCTCACAGACTGTAATTTCTGAACATTTCTGTCTCATCACCGCCGGCTTCCTCGCAGCAGCTCGTCCCACAGATCAAAACAGATGACTGTGACTCTGGCTAGGACAGCCTGATAAGTACTCCACAACCTGCAGAAAGTTGGCAGAAATGGGTTTTTCTTCTACTTATTTCAGTCGCCTTTCTGCAAACGTTGGCTGGAGAAATTGCATTTCTTGTTGGGTATCGAGTCCAGCAAGAAGTACGAGTGGGAGTGGGGTCTGATTCACTTTGATATGAAGTAAAACTGGAAATGAACACACCCAAAATGTCAGTGATAATCTTGTGTTTGTGTCACATTCCAACAAACAGGTCAATACAGCTGCTGTCACTGTTCTGCAGATACATCCAGCCTCTGATGCCGCCTGATTTTGTCGAAGAAGAAACGTTGTCCAAACCCTCAGCTGCTGCCGATCTGTGCACTTCAAACATGTTTGTGCCTTTAAAGATTCCTGATTCACACAACATAAACTAAATAATAGGAAAAGTAAATAGTATCCATCTGTAATTAGTCTTTTTGATCGCTGAGGAAGAATTTCAACCCACTCTTCTTGCAGTCGTCTTAAGTTGAACCATGTTGAAGGGTCTGATTAAACTCATTCCACAGCACCTCAACTGGGTTTGAGTCTGGACTTTGACTGGACCACTGCAAAACCTACATGTTGAGCTGTTCAGAAGGGGACCTTCTGGTGCGATTTGGACCACAGTCTTGCTATGTCGAGCGGATCCTTCTTGTTTTGACATTAAAAATACTTTTGAGGATCCGAAACATTTATGTGTGACAAAAAGGCAAAAAAAAAAAACATGAAATGTTTAAGACAGCGTTTTCCTTGCACCATATGTTTCATAAAGAAATGAGACTTTTGATACTTTCTGATCATATTAAGTTTGTTGGTCTGATTGCACAACTTTCTTCAAGTCTTCAAGATTATTTGCTTCATGCAAATAAAAATCTACTCAATTGTGTGCTGTCTTGTTTGCATCATTTCATTTGTGATATATATATACAGTGTATATATATATATAAAATGTTTTTGTTTTTGCTTTTCCTTGTGTAAAAGCAAAACAAATTTGCTTTTGCATAGTTTTGTTTGTCCAGTATTTCTTGTGTTTAATTTGTTTTTCATTAATTGTTGGCTGTGCCACATGCACTAATTAACCAGCTAAATGACAAAAGTAAGAAAAGCAGTTCTCTGAGCACGGATTAATGAGCGGGAGGTGTTCCAGTTTGTTTAAGAAGAGACACAGACACCATCCATCCACCTATTCAAGACAAATATTATACAGCTGCAAGTAAATGAAGAATAAAACATCTGCAGTAGATAAACATGAGATTTTTTTTTTTCCACAAAATGCTTTAGACACAGTTTACAACCCCATCTTGTTTGTGTCTCTGAACATTATGTCACAAGGTCTAATGTCCTCTTTCCACCAAGCAAACACACACGTGACTCCAGCCGTTGTTTGGTGTTCCCTTCCTGACCCGATACTTTTCACATTTGTTTTTGTCTGCTGCGTGTGTGTTTGTTTCAGGCACTCCCAGTCTCGCTCGCCCTCCTTCCTGAAGAAGTACTTTCAGAGTGTTAGGACTTGTCTGTCTTGTTTTCCGTGTGTCTGCCGGTCAGCCCTGACGGTTGACTGGTTCTTCTGCTCCTCGCCAGCGGCAGATACAGGCGTAGTATCTTTCTGGCCGTCAAGCTGTACGGCTTGTTTAAGCAGTGAAATGTTATCACTTCATCCTGATCCAGGATGAATCAGTTTTGAATGTAATTTTATCAAGACGAACGGTAGAATAGTACGATGAATGTCTTTGGTATGTTATGTTTGTCCATAGCGATTGGATGTTTATGATAGGTTATCTTTAAGATAAGGCACCGTTTAATTTGATGTTTTTCTATTGTAATAATAGGTCAGCCTTCTAAATTTAGTGACAGTCCAAGGATCTAACCTATATAGATATATTTTAAAGTAGTCATTTTCTTTTCCAAAGAATGTCAGTAATGGCAATAAGATCACATCTCCTATTCTGTATCCTACATATCCTGTACTGTTTTATAGCCATATTCCTTTTCAAACTGGGTTCAGGCTTGTAGCTCCCAACAATTGCAGCTCAAAATAAAAAGGTATGTAAAATGTGTAATCAAAAAAAGTAAGCAAAATGCAGCCAGAACATAACATAAAGAGGAGCATATCAAAGTTATGTCTGGAACACTGAACTCTGGTATCATGGCAGAAAGTAGTGACAAGTCCCCAAACCTGAACTCCCGTTCATGAGGTTAAAAACTTATTTTGTGATTTATCCGGTGACATGGAGGAAACAGTAGATTGGAGACTTATCAAACTGGCTCCACAACCGGTATTAAAAGCTCTCTGAGTCAGCCACATCTGATTGTGGCTGACTCAGTGAGAACTTGAGAGAAACAGCAAAGTGAAACAGTTAAATTGTAGCAGCATTCAAATATGTGTTAACATTTCTGCTCCTGTTCTGACAGGCATTGCTACAAAAGTGGCAGCCCTTGCAATTCTTCCTTCAACTTTTACCATCTGAATACT